GGGGGGGGAGGGGGGATGAGGAGGGAGGAGGGGAGGGGGAGGAAATGGATTGGGTTTTAATTGGGAAGAAGGGTAATTTGGGAAGTGGTTTTCTTGGGCAGTGGGTTTGGGGGTTGGTTGTTCATATTTTTCAATTTTAGGGCTTTTGGGTTATGGTTGTTGGGCTGTGGGTGAGGATGCTTGGCCCAACTTATTTTGGTTCCCCCCAAGTAATTTTCCCTTATTTTAAATCACTCACATCATCCAATAATATGGTGACAACTCATCTCATCTCATTAACATTTTATTTCCACCCATTTCTTCCCAAAAAGCTAAGAAAATAATTTCCTTAAGTATGAGTCACATCATCCAATAATATAATGACAACTCATCTCATCTCATCTATTTTCTTATTTTTAAGAATGAACCAAACAAAAGAAAACAACATATTACAAGAAATATGTTTCTTATAATTCATTTCCTTATTTTTTTCGCCAACCAAACAACATTAAAACAAGTTTTCTTAAAAAATCACTCACATCATCCTATAATAAGGTGACAACTCATCTCCATTTCTTTGATTTCCTTCTTTTTTTAGCAAATCAAACACTCCCAAAACAATTCTTATTAGAAATAGTTTTCAATTTCTTTGATTTCCCACTTTTTTTAGGCAAACAAACAGACACTAAGGGGGGGTTATTGGTTGGGACAAATTGGGGCCAAGTGGGAAAATTATTCTAATGGAACAACTTTACCCATTTGGGATATTTTGAGTAGGTTAAAGTGGGATAAAGTGGGATAATGGGATAATTTGAGCCTTTGATTTGACAATTCATGTGAGATAATTGATGATGTGGCACCTTATTAAAATATAATTTTATCTATTAATTACTTCTAAATTAACTTATCCAATTGGTTTAGTATATTATTTAGTATATTATTATAATATAAATATTATTTTACTTTATATTAAAATATAATATATTGTACTATACTTACAAATTACTATTATTAATTATTATATTGTATTATATTATATTATATTAGCATGCTATACTATATATAATAATTAATATAATATAATATCAATATATTTAATATAATATTTTAATAATATAATATTTAATATAATACATTATTTTATTTATACAAAAATATAATATGTTATACAATAATTACTAATTAACATTATATTAGTATGCTACATTATATAATAATTGATATAATATATGAATAATATATTTAATATAATATTTTAATTAATAATATTTTATAAATTAATTATATAATAATATATTTTATTAAAATATTATATAATATTATAATAAATACGTTATACTATAATTACTAATTAATATTATATAATAATATATTACATAATACTATTAATATATGTTATTATATAATATTATTAATATATGTTATTAAAATATTAATATATGTTACTAAAATATTATATAATATTATAATTAATACGTTATACTATAATTACTAATTAATATTATATAATAATATATTACATAATATTATTAATATATGTTATATTTTATATATCATGTCATATATTTATAATATAATTGCATGTATTAGTTAAGTAATACAAAAATATTTTAAAATTATCCCAATTGCTTTCAAAGTGGAACAACATTGTTCCAATATGGAGGATAAGGTAAATTTTTACTATTGGGATAAAAATTTTATATATGAGTGGGGTAATTTTATCCCAAGTGGTGTAATTGTCTCACTAATGTTCTAAAAAACCAATAATACAAAAAGTTATTATCCTTGTTTTATTGTCCCAATGAATAACACTATAAAATAGAATTCCTAAAATTATCCCATTATCCCCTAAAATATCCCAACCAATACCCCACACACACCCCCAAAGACGAAATTGCACTCTTCTGTACTCCTTGGCATCTGCAAGTGGAATCTCTGTGATTCCTACTACTCGCCGTACAAAAAGAATGGAGGGCTTTTCGCCATTTATGTGGAGTTAAATGCATTGTTTTGTAGTCAAATACCGATAGCTGTCAATTATTAGCACAGTGCTCTCAGACCCATCTCTTCTCTTTCTTCTTCTTCTTCTTCTTCTCTCCGCTGAAAATCAAAGAGGGGGGGTTAATGGGTTCAGAAGGAAGCTGTAGCCCATTAATTGATGAGGATTTGGAGTGGGAAAAAGTGGGTTTAATGAGGGCATTTGTTGAAGACAAAGATCCACAAGCTAAGGTTTGCCTCTTTCTTGTCTTATTCTTTTTGGATGATTTGATGCTTGATTTTAGGACCCTTTAATTGTTCACCTCTATATTTATCATTCAACTAAATTTCTCAAATGAGTGATGCCCACTGAAGTATGATTTCACAATTGGGTTTTTTTTGGTTGGGTGGGTTGGGGGCAAAATTCCTTAAAGTTCCCACTTAAAATATTTGTTGGAGCCAAAATTTTCCCCCATACTTCCTAAATTTATTCAAGGACATGAGATAGGGAGGCTCTTGGAGATGCTCTTAGATTATTCCTAAATTTATTTTTGTTGGAGAGCATCTCCAAGGGATCTCTTGGATGTCCCTTAATTTAGGGGGAACTTTAAGGGAGGGGTTGGTTCTTCTCCCCCCTTAAAAGTCCCCTACCCCTTAATTAATTATGTTTAGTTTTTTACTTTTATAGATTAGGATTTAATTAAATATGTGGTTTATTTATAAATGAATAAATAATTAAATATTAATAACTAAAAATAATTAATTAATTAATTTAAATTAAGAAATTATCTTATATAATCATTAAATTAATTAATCATATTAAAATTTAACAAATAATTAATTTAGACAATAATTAATTTATATAAATTGTGTTAAAAGTTAAATATTATTTTAAATTTAAATTCATATGCTAGGAAAACGGCCTATATTAGAAAACAAATATATACTAGAAAAACACCCTATACTAGAAAAAACAACGTATAATTAATAAAAAATATTAATAAAAAATTATAATACGTACATTTTAAAAATATTAATCAAATTAAATTAACTATACATTACATTAACTAAATTTAATTAACTATAAATTAACTCTAAAATAAAATATATTAATATAAAATTATAAGGGGAAGGTTAAAGTCCCTTAACCTTCCCCTTTATTTAGGGAGGAAGTTAAGGGACTTGGGAGTGAGGGGGAAAAAATACGGTCCCTTGGAGCCAATCCCCCTTAAATGTCCCCTAATTTAGCTAAGGGGTCGGATTTTTTCGGCCTCTTGGAGATGCTCTTAGTACATACTAGTGTGAACACTCAAAAATTTTTGCTACAGTAATCCTTTTCCCCCTATAGTAATCCCATTTTTTTTGGAATTTTTGGATTGGTACAGTATCCCGCTTCTGCTACAGTATTCCCGTGTGCTACAGTATTTTTTAAAAAACTACAGTACCCTGTTTCATGTTTGCTACAGTAATAATGCTGCAATAAAATGCTATTGTAGCATTATTGTAGCATCAATAGTGAATCATGGGTTCTTTCATTTGTATAAAGGAGTAGATTTGTTAATTGCGGATAACTCCTATGGTTTTACTGTTGCAGATAGGCCCCTGTGTGAAAATTTTTGAAGTCTTTTATCCTGAAAAAAAGAAATTTTTACATATCTACTCCTCTATACAAATGGGAGAACCCAAGATTCATGAATGATATAGTAAAATGCTACACTAACATGTACTGTAGCAAACACAGAAATGGACACTGTTTTTTGAAAAATATCACTGTAGCACATGGGGATACTGTAGCAGAGGCGGGATACTAGGGCAATTCAAAAAATTCAAAAAATCCTGTAGCGGTTAAAACCGGGATTACTGTAGCGGGAAAAAAATTATGTCGTGCTTTACATGGTGTTCACACTAGTCGAAAGTAAAAGGACAGAATTAAATTTGTACATACTGAAAGTAAAAGGACAGAGTACAAAATATTATATGGTATATCTTGATACGGAGAGGTACACAAGAAGAGCACAAAATTGCGCTTTCCTACTAAAATGTGTGAACCAGAATTCTGTAAGTTTCGGCTGGGATTTCTTTGGAATCCCATCCTGTTTTCTTAGTAAAAAAATAGAAAGAATCTGTAAGTTCTATGAATTGTAGTTGATTTCTCTCGAAATGTTGATTCGTCCGCTACAGATACATTGATTCTGTTTCTTCCAGATGAACCACAAGGTCCCCATCACTACACAAGACACATTGGTGTCATATCTTTTTAATTGCCTTATGAATACATGTAAAATTGAAAAGAGACAGTGGTTATGGTAAATGCTTTACCTAATTGTTATTTCTCAATTTAGACCTCTCGACTCTCGAGATAATCCCCAGCATTCTTGATTTTATTCCCTTCACTTTGTTCCATCATTTAGATAATCATGTTAGTTCATCATAGCGCTATTGTAGAGCATCTCCTTTTTATTTAAAATTAGTCACAAGATCTCTTCTTTGCATAACTAATTTCCTTAAATCTTTGAAACTTTGTCTTGTGTAAAGGAGGCAGACAATTTCATGATCAGAAGATTCTTGAGAGCTCGTGACCTAGACATAGACAAGGCCTCTACCATGTTCCTTAAATATCTCAAATGGAAGAGGGAATTTGTCCCTAATGGATTTATATCGGACGCTGAAGTGAAAAATGAGCTTGCTGAGAGGAAATTCTTTGTGCAAGGATTTGATAGAAAAGGCCACCCTTTAGGCGTTGCGTTTACAGCTAAATTTAATGCTAAGCATGGAATGGACGAACATAAGCGTAAGTCATTATTTTCCTCTAAAGATGGATTATATTTTACAGTCTTGATCAAGGAATTTGAGTAGAACCATCTGGTTCTTGTCCCAGGTTTCGTTGTGTCTATCCTCGACACATTATGTAGCAGGTATCATCTCGGAAACCTGAATACTTTTTTGAAAATGTGAAAATAATCTGTTACTCTTTATAGTGTTGTTGTTTCTCCCTAACATCATATAATATTATTTTTCAAGTTAATTATGTGCAGAAAAAAAAGGAATCCATTATTATACTTGGTATATTTTAATTTTCTGAATTTCAAAAGATAATGAAATGTTTTGAAGAAAATTTACCTTAAGTTTCATATTTACTCCATTTGACAATTATAGAACTTCAAGAGGTCAAGAGAAGGTCATGATCATTGCAGATTTGAAAGGCTGGGGGTACTCAAACTGCAACGTCCGAGCTTACCTTGCGGCTATAGATATTTTACAGGTTTGTTTGTGGCGAAACCATAGAGATTGGCTTGGTATCATTTATTGTGCTGCATGTAACCCTAGATTGGCTTGATATCATCTGTTACTCTGCCTATACAATTTATATACACCCACACATGCATGCACATTGCACACGTATCTGTTCATACATACACTTTGCGTAGAGGTGTAGGTTTTTCTAATATTTCTGATGCTAAAACAGTTATTATCATAAAAGTTAAACTTCACTAATCATGTCTAGTGAGAGGTACATAATGTTATATTCCCCAGATTATAATAGAAATAATCAGACTTGAAATGCCATAGTCCTCTATGTTGAGGGTCTGTTGCATGAATAATTTTTGTCCATTTAAATCAATTTAAGGGACAGCATATACCTCTTAATTATTGCTGGAAACCGATGAAATTGGTGTTTGGGATATGTGGAAGCTTTGTCCAGAACCAATTAGATCTACTCCTAACAAAGGAGTGGGAAACACATGAGGATCAAATCCGAGAAAAACACAACCAAAAGTTTTGTAGAAAAGTAAATCAGACAAAAGCAAATGATTTAGTGTGGTTCAGCAATCACCTACGTCCAAGGGGAGAGATTAGAGTTTACTTATATTACCAAAGATCACAAGATCTAGTATTTCTTGAGTATTTCAAGATCACCATAAGAAACCCTCCACTCGATCTCATAGAAGTTCCTCATTGACCCTAGGATATCCTCCTTTGTTTCCTCTTTACACTTATTCAATCACCCTTTACAATTATGTAATTTTTTTCCTGATAAGCTCTCATAACCCTGGTGGATACCATGACGCAAACATAAAAATGGGGAGGCCGATCGGATATCGTTCCGATGCCAACGAGCCTTGACAATAACAGGTAATTTACGAGCTTGAATCCACAAGCCAGAAGTTTCTCAGACTTGAGAAAGAAAACAATGGAGAAAATTTTTCTTGATTGAATAATTAAAAAGTTAATTATTGATTTACAAAAGGAATTATTATATATAGCCAACTAAACCTATCCTAACTCTAATAAAAAAGAAACTCTGTTCCTAAAAGGAAATAACCAAAAACGAATTCTTTCCTAATCTGATGTCCGAGTCAACACGAGGCGAGTCGACTAGTACCGCCTTTCGTGTCGACTGGGCATGTATTCCTAACTGTTGTTCCAATCAACATAAAGTGTGTCGACTAGTACCGCCTTTCGTGTTGACTGGGCATGTATTCCTAAATGTGTCGTCTCGTTCTGCCTGCTTTGCCTCGTCTCGTCTGCTGAGATCTCGTCTCGTCCACTGAAATGTCGTTTCATCTGCTCTGATATCGTCTCATCCGCTGAGATGACTTGGTTTATATTGAGTTGAGATGTCGGACGAGTTGAGATGTCGGATATTGTTGAGACGTTGGATATTGGACGAGTTGAGATGTCGTCTCGTCCAATTACTTGTCCAATTACTTGATCTCCTGTTTCAGTCCCTCCTTCGGAAGAACTCATCTCTGAGTTCGCATCACTTGCATACAACTCGATTGAAGGATAATAGTCAGAAATATCCGCCATGTTGAATGTCCTCGATATAACCATTTCTTTTGGAAGATCCACTATATATGCATTGTCATTGATCTTCTTGAGAATCTTGAACGGTCCATATCGTTTTGGCTTAAGCTTGTTGTATGTTCCAGCCGACATTCGTTCCTTCCGTAGGTACACCTTCACCATGTCTCCTTCATTGAACACTTTGAGTCGCCTCTTCTTGTCCGTAGTAGCTGCTTCATGCGACGCCAAACCCGCACTGATTGCTTGCCTTGTCGACTCCTAGTGTTTTGAGTTTGATCCCACCATTATGCTGCGGCTCCTCCTTTGAGACGATATGCTACAAACTTTACCTGGTTTGCTTCGAGCATATTAGCCATCTCAAAGAACTTCTCCACTTCGTAGAGCCAATCCAAAAAAGCCTTTATGTCCAGATTTCCTCTGAAGGAATGAAGCTTTACCTTCATCCGATAGTCTTGGTCCCGATGATATCGGTCTTATCGGTGGTAGTTGTGACAAGGGTTGTAGCCTCTACCCCGACCTCTACCATAAGGTCGATCTCCTTCCTCTTTACTCGAAATATTATCATACCATGGCCCTTCAAATTGGTGACTATAGTCTGCACTGTCGTCACTGTAATCATCATGGGGAAGAGTATGATTGGGAAGTCGTCGAAGGAGTAGAGGGGGTTGATATTAAGGAGGTTGATGCGGAGGAGGTTGATATGGAGGGGGTTGGTTTGGACGTGATTGATTTGGATGGGAATGAACTGGAGGGGGTTGATGATTATACGAGGGTGGATGTCGGGGTTGCCTAACTCCGGGTCCGCCTAGGTGCGAAGTTATTCCCATTGTTGAGGTGAATGGTAAGTCATTCAATGGCTTGTTGAAGATTCTGAAGAGACGCCTCCAACGCGCCAAATCTTCCATCCATAAAATCCATCCTCACGGAAAGATCCTGTAGAGAAAGTTCCTTCTCGCCGTCACCTGCCATTGTCGAGGATGTTAAAGTCGAAGCTATGATACCACTTGACGCAGAAGTAGAAACGGGAGGCCGATCGGATATCATTCTAATACCAACGAGCCTTGATAATAACAGGTAATTTCACGAGCTTGAATCCACAAGCCAGAAGTTTCTCAGACTTGAGAAAGAAAACAATGGAGAAAAATTCTCTTGATTGAATAATTAAAAAGTTAATTATTGATTTACAAAAGGAACTATTATATATAGCCAACTAAACCTATCCTAACTCTAATAAAAAAACTCTGTTTCTAAAAGTAAATAACCAAAAATGAATTCTTTCCTAATCTGATGTCCGAGTCGACACGAGGCGAGTCGACTAGTACCACCTTTTGTGTTGACTGGGCATATATTCCCAACTGCTGTTCCAGTCGATACGAAGCGTGTCGCCTAGTGCCGCCTTTCGTGTCGACTGGCATGTGTCGTCTCGTTCTGCCTGCTTCGTCTCGTCTCGTCTGCTAAGATCTTGTCTCGTCCACTGAACAAGGTTTTAAATATCGGTTATCGGGGATTTATCGGATGGTCAAAATCCTTATCGGATAGCGAAAATCGGGGATATATCGTGGATAAGTAGTATTTATCGGAGCAATATACTGGATGGTGTATATATATAATATAACAACTAAAAAAATATAATCTAACCGTGCTTAATGAAATATAAACATACCAAAACAGAAAAGCAAAGTATGTACAATTTATTCACTAATTTCTTA